GGGTTGGTGTTGTGGCATAGGAGGTTAAGTGTCCACCCATATGGCCACTGGCTTGAGACCCAGCTGCTCCACTTCTGATCCAGCTCCCTGCTAATGTGCCTGGGAAAGCAGTGAAAGCCCAAGTGCTTGGGCCCCTGCACCCATGTGAGAGACTTCAAAGAAGCTCCAGGCTGCTAGCTTTGGCTTGGCCCAGCTCCAGCCATTGGGGCCATCTGGGGAGTGAGCCAGCGGATAGAAGACACCTCCCTCTCTCCACCCCCCCCCCCCCACTCTCCTCTCTCTCCTTTTTCTCTCACTCTCTTCCCCTTCCTCCCCTGCCCCCTCCCTGCCCCCCCTCCCTTCTCCTCCTTTCTCTCCTCCTCTCTTTGAAACTCTGCCTTTCAAATAAATAAAATCTTCTAAAAAATGTGAACTACATATATAATTAAAGCTTTTTAGTATTTACATAAAATAGCTTTTTAAAAAAATTTTAATAATATTTTTTTAACCCAATATATCCAGAATACTATAATGTTTAATCAAGATTTTTACAAAATATTTTACATCGTTTTTTTTAATACTAAGTCTTCACACTTGCATAGCACATCTCAAACCAGAGCAGTTGGGGCTGGCATTGTAGTTCCATGGGTTAAGCTGCTACTTGCGTTGACAGCATTCCATATCATAGTAACAGTTCATATCCTGGCTGCTCCACTTCTGATTCAGCTTCCTGCTAATGTGCTTGGGAAGGCAGCAGTTTATGGCCCAACTGCCTAGGCCCCAGCTTCCCATATGAGAGACCAGGATAGGGTTCCTAACTCCTGGCTTTGCCCTGGCTCAGACCTGGCTGTGGTGGGCATTTGGGGAGTGAACCAGTGGATGGAAGATATCTCTAGATATCTACCCCCTGCTCCCTTTTCTTGTTGTTGCTCTGCATTTCAAATTAAATAAATAACTTTAAAAAAAAAATCAGACCAGCCATATTCTAGTGATCAGTAGCTGCACATGTCCCGTGGCTACTGGATTGAATGTCAGAGCTCTAAAGCCTGTTCTGTTTGTGGTGCCCCACACACTCAGGATGATAATCATTCTTCCACACCAGCAGGTATTTTAAATCATTTGGGCTTTTATGCTGTACTCGTTTGTCTATTTTGTTAATTAATAGATTCATTCTTTTTGGCCTACTCTTTTTATCTCTTCTCTTTATGGTTTATTCTTCTTCTCTGAGTTTGATTTTTTCCCCCTTTTTTGAAAAAAAATTCTTTAATGATTTATTTGAAAGGAATAGTTACAGAGAAGGGAAGAGAGAGAGTAGAGAGGTCGTCCATCTGCTGGTTCATTTCCAAATGGCTGCAATGGTTAGGACTGGGCCAGGCCAAAGCCAGGAGCCAGGAGCTTCTTCCAGGTCTCCCATATGGGTATGGGTGGCAGAGTCCTGAGCAGTTGGGCCATCTTCCATTGCTTTTCCAGGCCATTAGCATGGATTTGGTTCAGAAGTGGAGCAGCTGGGACTTGAACCAGTACCCATTGGGATACCACCACTGCAGACAGCAGCTTTACCTGCAATGCCATAATGCTGGCCCCTTTGAAATTTTTTTTTTTTTTTTTAACAGGCAGAGTGAACAGAATGAGAGAGAGAGAAAGGTCTTCATTTTGCCATTGGTTCACCCTCCAATGGCTGCCGCTGCCAGTGTGCTGTGGCTGGCTCACCGCGCCTATCCCAAGGCAGGAGCCAGGCGCCAGGAGCTTCTGCTGCTCTCCCATGGGGTGCAGGGCCCAAGCACTTGGACCATCCTCCACTGCACTCCTGGGCCACAGCAGAGAGCTGGCCTGGAAGAGGGGCAACCGGGACAGAATCCGGTGCCCTGACTGTGGGGAGCAGCCCGGACTGGACTGAGTTACTGGAATTAAGACTTATTCTATGCATCTGCTCTCCCACAATATGGCGTTGGGAGAGAAGTAAACAGCTTCCGCACAGCTGCCTCCAGTTCAACCAATAAACTGTAGGACTTGCACCTGATTGGAGAGCAGCGTACTCGGCGTGTGGGCAGCCGAGTTAGGATTGGCGGAGGAGGACTATAAAGGAGGAGAGAGACGGCATGCACCAGGAACATCTAAGGGGAACATCTAGCTGAAGGAACACCTGTGCAGCCCCCGAGAAGAGCCGGCCGGCGGTGTGCCGCTCCCCTGCGGAAGTGGGGAATGTGGCCAGGGGGAACTGCCCTTCCACGGAGGTGGAAGGGATAGTAGCCAACCCGGGAAGAACCAGCAGCAAACCCGGGGAGGGCCGAGCAGACGAAAGAACAGCGCAGGGTCCTGTGTCGTTCCTCCACGAAGAGGGGGAGCGACACTGACCAGGACTAGAACCCGGTGTGCCGGCACCGCTAGGCAGAGGATTAGCCTATTGAGCCGCGGCACCGGCCAGGTCTTCCTTTTTGCCGTTGGTTCACCCTCCATTGGCCGCCATGGCTGGCGTGCTGCGGCCAGCGCACCGCACTGATCCGAAGCCAGGAGCCAGGTGCTTCTCCTGGTCTCCCATGCGGGTGCAGGGCCCAAGTACTTGGGCCATCCTCCACTGCACTCCCTGGCCACAGCAGAGAGCTGGCCTGGAAGAGGGGCAACCAGGACAGAATCCGGCGCCCCGACCGGGACTAGAACCTGGTGTGCTGGCGCCGCAAGGTGGAGGATTAGCCTATTGAGCTGCGGCACCGGTGAAAAAATTTTTAAGATGTATTTGTTTATTTGACAGAGATGGAAAGATAGAGATCTTCCACTCACTGGTTCATTCCCTACCTAAGTGGCCGCAACACCTGAGACTGGGCCAGGCTGAAGCCAGGAGCCTGGAACTCCAATTGGGTGTCTCTCTCCTCCTCTCCCCTCTCCCCTCTCCCCTCTCCTCCCCATATATATATTATGTCTTATGCTTTCCTAGGCTAATTAACAGGAAGGTGGATTGCAAGTGGAGCAGCTGGGACTTGAACCAGTGCCTATATGGGATGTTAGTGTTACGGGTGTGGTTTAACCTGCTGTACTACAATGCTGGCCACAGAAGTTTACCCCTCTAAATATTTAAATACTCTATATTGGGGTGGATATTTGGCCAATTGATTAAGCTATTGGTTAGTGCACCTGCATCATATAATTGGAGTAGCTGGGTTGCATACCTGACTCTAGCTTCTGATTCCAGCTTCCTGCTAATGTGGACAGAGGAGAGGTAGAGGGGTTGGCTGAAGTGACTGGATTCCTCCCACTAATGTGAGAGACCTGGATTATGTTCCTGTCTCATGGCTTTGGTGTCAACTCAGTCCTGGCCATTGCAAGCATTTGGGGAGTGAACCAGCAGATGGAAGATTTCTCTGTCTCTCCCTCTATTCCTCCCTCTCTCAGTCTCTGTCACAGTACTCTTGTTTTCAGTGTGAATAGATTTTTTTAATTTTTAAATTTTATATAAAAATAGAGGTACAAATAAATTTTATTTATTTGAAAGAGAGAGGGATTCACTGGTTCACTCCACAAGTGCCTGCAACAGGCAGGGCTGAGTCAGTTCAAAGCCAGGAGCCAGGAACTTCATCTGGATCTCCCATTTGAGTGGCAGGGGCCCAAGTACTTGTGCTGTATTCTTCTTTTCCCAGGCCATTAGCAGGGAGCTGGATCAGAAATGGAGTAGCCAGGACTTGAACCAGCATTCCAATATGGGATGTGGGCATCCCAAGCAGAAGCCTAACCTGTTCTATCACAATGCCTGCCCCTTGAGATTTGATTTTAAGAGTACATTTCTTTTTTTTAAATACTGAATTTTTCTCTGATTTTTTTAAAGATTTATTTATTTATTTGAAAAGCAGAGTTACAGAGAGGGAGGGAGGGAGGGAGGGAGGGAAGGAGGGAAGGAGGGAGAGAGAGAGAGAAAGAGAAAGGGGTCTTCCATCTGCTGGTTCACTCCCAAGATGGCTGCAGTGGCTGGAGCTGTGCCAGTCTGAAGCCAGGAGCCAGGAGCTTCTTCCAGGTCTCCCACATGGGTCCAGGGCCCAAGAACTTGGGCCATCTTCTACTACTTTCCCAGGCCATAGCAGAGAGCTGGATTGGAAATCGAGCAGCAGGGTCTTAAACCACATATGGGATGCTGGCACTTCAGGTGGTAGTTTTACCCACTATGCCACAGCACTGGCCCCAAGAGTACATTTCTAAAAGTTCACAAGTTTATTGAGCCATAATTTATGTATCATAAAATTTCACCCATTTTAAGGGTATAATCTAGTGTTTTTTTGTTTGTTTGTTTTAGTATTTTTTGGTTTATTTGAAAGGTGGGAGATACACACACACACACATACACACACACACACAGAGAGAGAGAGAGAGAGAGAGAGAGAAATAGTCCATCTACTGGTTTACTACGCAGATGGCCACAATAGCCAGGTATGGGCCAGGCATAAGCTAGGAGCTAGGAGTGTAGAATGCCATCTGGGTCTTGCACATGGGTGGCAGGGCCCAGGTATTTGGGCCATCTTTTGCTACCTTCTCAGGAGCATTGGCAGGAAGCTTGATCCAAAACAGTGCAGCTGAGATTCAAGAGTGGCACTCCAGAATGGGATGCTGGCACCACACCACAGCACTGGCCCCTTGTACTTTTTATTTTTTAAAGATTTATTTATTTATTTATTTTTGAAAGCAGAGTAACAGAGAGGGAGAGGGAGGGAGAGAGTGAGTGAGAGTTTTAGGGAAATTTTATATAATAAAATAATATAATAAATATAATAAATGCAAAAAAACATTTATTTAATGAACAACCCATGAAATTGAATATGGTAGATGGTATAAAATTTATTCTATAACTAAAACCTTTATTAATTTTCAAATTGCAGATTCTACTGTTTTAGTTGTTAAATATTTCTGTAAAACCCATAATATGACCAAAAACTATGCCAAAACATTAAAATTATTATGATTGATGATAACTGCATTTATGTTATACAAACTTCATTTTTCCAGCACAGAAAAATATTTAGTTTCTTGTTGTCTTTTAGATAAAGGGTCTAAGTGTGAGACCAAGAAGATTCCTTCAAATCAGTGCAACAAATCTGGGCAAAGCATCTATCAGAAACCAGTTTCTCCACAGCAAAAAGTTCCTACAGGAAAGAGGAACTGCAACAAAAATTTAATCTTAATAAAGCCCAAGAAAGAGCATATGGTGAAGAGATCCTTAAAATGTAATGAATGTGGGGAAACCTTTAGTCGAAGCTTATCTCTTAAACTTCATCAGAACTTGCATACTGGAGAGAGGCCTTATGAGTGCAATACGTGTAGAAAAGCTTTCAGACGGATCTCCTCCCTCATTCTTCATCAGAGAATTCATAATACAAAGAAGAGCTATGAATGTGGTGAATGTGGGGAAAGCTTCAATCAGAAAGCAACCCTTAGTGTGCATCAGAGAATTCATGGTGGAGGGGAGATCATTGACTGTGGGAAGACCTTGAGCCTGTGCCCATCTCTAAGTATGTATCACAAATTTCACATTGTTGAGAATGCCCACCGGTGCCAAACATGTGGCAGAGTTTTCAGTTGTGTGTCATCCTTTTCAGGTCATAAGCAAATGCACAATAGAAGAAAAATAGATAAATGCAATAAATGTAGGAGAGGCTTCAAGAAGAAATCAGTCCTTGTCAGGCATAAAGTAATTCATACTGAAGAGAAAACCTATGGAAATAAAGAGGCCTTAAGTCAGAGTCTGCAGCACAGAACTCACCATTTAAAGAATTCTTATAAATGCAGAAAATGTGAAAAATCCTTTAATAGGATTTTACCGCTTATGCTTCATCAAAGACTTCACACTGCAAAGATTCTCTACTCATGTGATAAATGTGAGAAGGTCTTCAGGCAGCTTTCAACCCTTATTCTGCATCTAAAAATTCATAATGGGGTGAAGCTATACAGGTGCAACGAATGTGAGAGGGTCTGCAATAGGCATTCCTCCCTTATTCAACATCAGAAAGTTCATACAAAGAAAAAGAAGCTCTTTGAATGTAAGGAATGTGGGAAGATGTTTTCTGGAACTGCAAACCTTAAAATACATCAGAATATTCATTCTGAAGAAAAACCGTTCAAATGCAATAAATGTAATAAAGTTTTTGGCCGCCAATCATTTCTTACGGAACATCAGAGAATTCATACTGGAGAAAAACCCTATCAGTGTGAGGAATGTGGGAAAGCCTTCAGTCATCGAATATCTCTTACCCGACATAAGAGAATTCATACTGAAGATAGACCGTACGAATGTGATCAGTGTGGGAAGACCTTTAGCCAGAGTGCACACCTTGCCCAGCATGAAAGAATTCACACTGGAGAGAAGCCATACACATGCAAGATATGTGGGAAGGCCTTCAGTCAGCGCATATCCCTTATTCTACATGAAAGAAGTCACACTGGAGAGAAACCCTATGAATGTAGTGAATGTGGGAAGGCCTTCAGCAGTGGCTCAGACCTTATTCGACATCAGAGAAGTCACTCTTCAGAGAAACCTTATGAGTGTAGTAAATGTGGAAAGGCATATAGTCGGAGCTCATCTTTGATTCGACATCAGAATACACATTGTGAAGGAAAAACCTAAGGCTTTTTTATTTTTAAATCTGTAAAGCCAAAAATAGAAACAAATGTGGAAATATGTACAGATGGTCTTTGAATTATGTCCCGGTAACTTCATTGTGAGGTGATTATACTTATGTTGCAAATGTGCATCTCCTAACCTGCTGCACATCAGCTTAGCAGCATGGAACACTGGATATCATGTTTACCCCCATGATCACCTGGGTGACAGAGACCTGCAGCTTGTCACTACAGCCCAGCATCGGGAGAGAACATTGTACCGCATGTTGCTAGCCCAGGAAAAGATTAAATTGGAAGAATAATTTCTACTGAAAAGTATCACTCTTCTACTATTGTAAATTTAAACAATCACCAGTTGAAACATCCTAAGTCAAGGACTGTCTGTACTTGTCCATAATATAAATTTTATATATAGGACTAATTGATGTTGTATCCCACTTTGATAGCCAAAGAACAAAAATCATTGGTTGCTTTGACCTGAGGATTTAAAATCAAATGAGGCAAGCTTAGAAGATTAGATCAGTCTTTGTGAATGAAAACTTCTCATTTGATAAGAATTACTGATATTTTATTTTCAATGTAGTTTTAAAGATATTTCATTAGCCAGAGCCAACAAAGTGGAATTGTGAAGTCCCTTTTTTGTCAGTGGGGCTTTGAGCCTCATGTAGGGTCACAGGGAAGAGTTTGTCTATTCCTCAGGACTAGAACTATCAAATTTATGGAGCTTCTTGGGAAAACAAGTGCCCCTTTCACTTGACAGAAATTTGTGGGTGAGGATAAAGAGTGATTCTTTAGGTGGGTAAATATAGCTCTCACAGTGGTGTGGAGCAATGGAGACATCACTGTACTGTCTCCTTGGACATGAGGACATATGCTATTCATGGTGTGAACACCTAACAAGGCCAACATAGGTTAACAGGAAAATAACCAGGATGTACTGAAGAATGACAAAGATTAGAGCAGGGAGAAATTATTTATTTTGCATTTGAAAATAAATTGTCTATATTTATATGAATACACCTTGATATTTTCGTGTAATAATGATGTTGTGCAATAAGTAATTGGTGGAATATGTGGCATTATGGACTCCATGTTTGTTCCACTCCACAGTTTATACGCTCAAGTCCTCCCCTGCAATGTGATGACGGTATTTGGATATAGGGCTTTTGGGAGACAGGGTTAGATGAGGTCATGGGCATGGGATCTTCATGATGGTTAAGAAGTGCCTTTTTAAGGAGAGACACCAAGATGCCTGCTGTCTTTCTGCACTGTGTGAGAACACAATGAGAAGGCAGCCATCTTCATACCAGAAAGAGGGCTCTCAAAAGGATCTGCCCAGGTTGACGCCCTGATCTTGGACTTCTAGCTTCCAGTAAGAAGTGAAATTGTCTTGTGTAAGCCACCCAGTCTATAGTATTTTGTTGTGGTTGCTTGAGCTACCATATTGAGAAAACTCTAGATTTATATACTGGGCATTTTCCTAATCAGCTGTTCACTCTATGTAGTAGCTTTCAGTCCCTCTTTGCGGCTTGTGTACAATATGTGAGAAATAAAAATCAGAGTTCTTTTTAAAACTTAGAGTATACACAATTGAGCTCTTCTATGTAAGTTCACTTGCAGAAGCTGAATTTGAGAACACGTATGTTGCCAATTTTGTTCAATGTATGATCGTGTGGCTTAGATCATTCTAATTTTGATGAAAACTGAGAGAATCTAATGTACAAGAAAAATGCTTTATTTGAAGTCACTAGATTGATGTAGATGTCTATTATGACAATATTTTGCTTTTTAAGAGATGCTAATGGATTTCCACTTCTCCTTTAGCAAACATCTCCTGCATATTTGTTGTATACGTAACTACCTTGGACCAATCAGTAATAAACCTTGAGGACATACAAACTAATAAGACACAGTTCATAATCCCAGCCACCTACAGTTACCAGGTAAACAGCTATGTCTAAGATGCACAGGTAGAACTGAGGAGGATGAACTCCATGATGATGGAGAGTTTAGGGGCAGGGATTGTTTGCTTTAGAGATGGTGATAGCATTACAAGAAGAATAGGAATTTACAGGGCACACAAAAGTTGGAAGGTTATTCAAGGCAGGGAGAAAAGTACAGCTGCATATAATAATGGCAGAGGGTAGTGGAGGATTTGCGGAGTTAAAAGTACCAACATTTGGTACAGCAACTGGTACAGTGTTAAGTGGTAAATATGCAAATATCTGAATGAATGAAAATAGTATCTGAAGCATAATCCATAGGAACATTAAACCTGAAAAAGACCTAGACATTGACATAAACTCTGGGAAAACTAGCTTTTCTCCTAAAAATAATCAACCGTGGCAACAAAAAACCTTAATTCTATATTAAAACACACACACAAACACTATAGGTTTAATAGAAGGAAAGACATAGCCTCTCAGGACCTACTTTTTCTGTTTCTCATAAGATACCTGGCTTCCCGAGGAGACAAAAGTAAAATGGCACACAGAAATGCACAAAAAAATGTGAGTGGCTTAACTGTTAAGATGCTGGTTAAGACACCTGTGTCCTATATCAGAGTACCTGGGTTTGATACCTGGCTCTGGCTCTTGACTTCAGCTAGGTTAATGCTAACACTGGCAGGTAGCAGTAATGGCCCAGTAAATTGAGTTCCTGCCACCCAGATGGGAGACCTGGGTTTTGCCTGACCCAACCCCAGCCATTATAGACATTTGGGGAGTGAACTGTCTTGGTCCTTCAAGTAATTTTTTTTTTTTTTTTTTTTTTTTTTTTACAGGCAGAGTGGACAGAGAGAGACAGAGAGAAGGGTCTTCCTTTTGCCGTTGGTTCACCCTCCAATGGCCGCTGCGGCCGGCACACCACGCTGATCCGATAGCAGGAGCCAGGTGCTTCTCCTGGTCTCCCATGGGGTGTAGGGCCCAAGCACTTGGGTCATCCTCCACTGCACTCCCAGGCCACAGCAGAGAGCTGGCCTGGAAGAGGGGCAACCAGGACAGAATCTGGTGCCCCGACCAGGACTAGAACCCGATGTCCCAGTGCCGGAGGCAGAGGATTAGCCTATTGAGCCGTGGCGCTGGCCTCAGGTAAATTTTTTAAAATTTATTTTCAAAATCCAAGAAAACACCTCCTGAGAAACAAGGCATTCCTCAGAACTAAATTCAGAAGTGACTTAACTCTTGTGGACTATATGATACGGAATTTTAAATCCCTTTAATGATAAGTTACCAGTTGGATAAAAGTACAAAATAGGCAACATTTGGGCAGAGATACGGAAACTAAGAGGAAGACTGAGGGAAGAGGATGGGAGGGAAGTACAGTTATCTTCTTTGAATTGTACCTGTGAAATATATTAAATCTGTCCTCTGTATATTAATAAAAAATAAAAACATTAAAATTTTAAAAACTAGAAAAATGTAACCCAATGGAAATATTAAGAAATGAAAAACAGTAATAGAAGCATGGTGTCTCCAACACATTCATCAGTATGTTTGGCACACCCAAGAAATAAGTAAGCTTGATGCTAGACTAATACAAAATATCCAAACTGAAACACCAGGGGAGGGGGAAATATAGAAACAGTATCCAAGAGCTGTGGGAGAATACTCACTGCTAGAACACACACATAATTGGAATCCTATTAGGCATAAAGAAAACAAGGCAGAAGAAATAGCTGAAGAAGAAACTTTTTTGGCCAAGAAAGTTCCAAAATTAGTGACCCCCAGAACATAAATCTATGAAATTCAGAAACATCAAGAATGATACATACTGGGGCTGGTGCTGGGGCACACAAGGTTAATTCTCCACCTGCGGCGCCGGCATCCCATTTGGGTGCTGGTTCTAGTCCCGGTTGCTCCTCTTCCAGTCCAGCGCTCTGCAGTGGCTTGGGATAGCAGTGGAGGATGGCCTAAGTGCTTGGGCCCCTGCACCTGCATGGGAGACAAGGAGGAAGCACCTGGCTCCTGGCTTCGGATTGGCGCAGCTCCAGCTGATGCGGCCATTTGGAGAGTGAACCAACGGAAGACCTTTCTCTCTGTCTCTCACTGTAACTCTACCTGTCAAATAAATCTTTTTTTTTTTTTTAAATAGAATGATACATACCAAAAGCACAGTTGTGCACTATATACACCTAGGCATAGCATTGTCAAACTGCTGAAAACAAAATACTGAAAGAAGTCGGGGGGGGGGGGGAGACATATACAGAGGAACAAAGATAAAAGGACGGTGTAGTGGCATCTTTAAAGTGCTGAAAGAGATAATTATTTTTCATAGAAATATATTGCAAATTAACAGAGAAATAAAGACCTTTTCAGAGAAAAGTGAGAGAACACAGTACAGGAAGAATAACTTTATGGGAATTAGTAAATGGAGTTTCTCAAGCAAAAGGAATATGAAACAATAGGTACTTGGATATACTTGTACACAATGAAATGGAGAGACCTAGAAATGGAAAAAGTGAATGCAAAATAATTTTTCTTTTAACTAAAAGTCAACTGGCTATCTAAAGAATACATCATAGGAGCTGGCGCTGTGGCACAGTGGGTTAAAACCCTGGCCTGAAGCACTGCCATCCCATATGGGTGCTGGTTTGTGAGCTGGCAGCTCCACTTCCCATCCAGCTCTCTGCTATGGCCTGGGAAAGCAGTAGAGGATGGTCCAAGTCCTTGGGTCCTTGCACCCACTTGGGAGACCCGGAGGAAGCTCCTGGCTCCTGGCTCTGGATCGGTGCAGCTCTGGCCTTGCAGCCATCTGGGGAGTAAACCAGTGGATGGAAGACTTCGCTCTCTGTCTCTACCTCTCTCTGTAACTTTCTCAAATAAAAATAAAATAAACCTTAAATACATTGTACACATTGAATACATTGTATGTTTATAGCGTATATGAAAGTAAAAGACTTGAAAAGCACGAAGGATGGAAGAAGGAAAACAGGAATATATCATGTAAGATTTGTATGTGTTAACTAGTATATTGTTTGAACAAATATTCATGGGGTAGGCATTTAGCCTAATGGTTACGATGATGTACATCCCACATCAGAGGGTCTGGGTTTGATTTCTGGTTGTAGGTCATAACACCCGGATGCAGCAGTGATGGCTCTAGTACTTGGGTTTCTCCCTCCCTTGTGGGAGAATGGCAGTACATTCCCAGCTCCTGGCAGGACTCCCTGTCTAGTCCCTGCAGGCATTTGAGGAAGGCACCAGCAGGTGGGAGCTCCTTCTGTCTGCCTCCAAAATAATCTGAAATGAGAATGGAAAGAAGAATGCAAGTCCTCGACTGTCACATTTAATATTAGGACCATGAAAACTGCTATGGTTTTTTTCCCCCATTTTTCTCAGTAATTGTCTTCGCTTTTTTTGTTTGTTTTTGTTGTTGTTGTTTTGGACAGGCAGAGTGGACAGTGAGAGAGAGAGAGAGAGAGAGAGAAAGGTCTTCCTTTTGCTGTTGGTTCACCCTCCAATGGCTGCTGTGGCCAGCGCACCACACTGATCTGAAGCCAGGAGCCAGGTGCTTTTCCTCGTCTCCCATGGGGTGCAGGGCCCAAGCACTTGGGCCATCCTCCACTGCACTCCCTGGCCACAGCAGAGAGCTGGCCTGGAAGAGGGGCAACCGGGACAGAATCTGCCGGCGCTGCTAGGCGGAGGATTAGCCTATTGAGCCGCAGCGCCAGCCTGTCTTCGCTTCTTTTTAAGAATAAAATTGTCTCCATCATACTGGTAAGATACTCCAACTTCATATGAATTCTATTTAATGGAATGCATTCCATTCTTCATGAAAATTCTCTTCATTGACTCCTAAATTCTTAGCAATAATTTGGTCTGGTTGCTCTCTCTGCTTGTTGCAGAGTGGTCATCCTAGTAATCCTCAACATCGCTTTTGTATGTTAGATCCACTATTTATTGAAGCCTGTTCTATTTTCTTCCTTTCTAATCCACATTATGCTAGAGCCTACATTTAATATCCCCAAAAAGGATATATGGAAGTAAACTGCATGTTCAAAGATATCAATATGGTCTTTAATAATTATTGACTGGGTATAGACTTCAAGGTTCAAGGTAATTTTACATCATAACTTGGAAGATACTATTTTGTATTCTCTCCTCTCCTACGACTTAAGAAAAACCAAAGCTATCTTAATTCTTAATTCTTGCTCTTTTATTTTTTTATGTGACCTAGACACTATTTGAAAGCTTTTAGAATGATGTTCTTGTGTTAAATCTGAGATTTCACAAACATATTTCATATATATATATATATATATATATATACCTGTTGTGGTTTTCCCAATCCATCCTGTCCAAACATTGAGTTATATTCCAAGCTGACCGTTCATACGTTCTTCAGTTTAGAAAGGGTCTTAATCATTTATTTGATACACCCTTGCATTTTCTATTTCCAGAAAATAGATGTTGGACCTTATGAATTCTCCTGTCCCTTTTTGTCTGTCATTTTCTTTTGTTCTTATATACTTGAAATTTTCCCTTAAATTTCTTTCAAACCACAGCAATGTATTTTTTCAAAACTTAGTTCTGTTACCTAGTTTTTCCCTTTAAAAAAGATAGTTTCTCATTGTTTTACAAATGGAACATGTATTCAAATATCAGATTGATAAAATTTTCATTTTCTTCTGTTGTAACATGATTTCTCCCACTCTATATTTAGTTATATCTTGAGACTTATTCATCTTAATCACATGACATGGTTTAATTAGGTAAATGATGGGGAATTCTTTGGATACTCTCACTGTAGGTGTTTCTCAGAGTGGGAAAATTCACCAGTATCTAGGATTTGCAAATACCTGAGAGGGTCCTCCAAATTCCAAAAAGAAGGCTTTAATTTAGGCAGCCAGGTCTTCACTTTAGCTGACCTAGTTCTCCACAAGTTCAATTTGTTTTCATATCTTAAACAATTTTAACTTACATTATCATTTTCTTGGTTTAGACTTTAGACAGTATAGATACATTAGGTCTCCCTTTGACTTAGCAGCCAATCCCAGTTCCCTCTCCAGAAGAAACATTTAACATGTTAAAAAATCTGAGCATTTGCATAAATGCTATATGGGCATATGGTTGTAGTCCCTGCTGCTCCTCTTCCGAGCCAGCTAGTCCCGGTTGGGGTGCCGGATTCTGTCCCGGTTGCTCCTCTTCCAGTCCAGCTCTCTGCTGTGGCCCAGGAAGGCAGTGGAGGATGGCCCAAGTGCTTGGGCCCTGCACCTGCATGGGAGACCAGGAGAAGCACCTGGCTCCTGGCTTCTGATCAGCGCGATGCGCCGGCTGCAGTGCGCCAGCCACAGCGGCCATTGTGGGGTGAACCAACGGAAAAGGAAGACCTTTCTCCCTATGTCTCTCAGTCTCTCACCCACTTTGTCTCTAAAACAAAACAAAACAAAGCAAAAAAACAAAAACAAAAACAAAAAACCTCTCTGCCTCATCAGTAGCTGCGATGTTAGTAATCATTTCCCTGCGTCACTGCCAATATTTGACATTACACTGTTTGTTTCTCTAAATACTGTTAAGCTTCCCTTGATACTAAGGTTAACCTTTTAAACACTGAAGTTGAGGGGAGGTTAAGCAGGTGTTTGTTTTTAGCCATTTGTACTTTGTCAATGAACTCTAGTTTCCTTTAGTCTTTTACAACATTTAACTCTCTCATCAACTGATGACCCCTTACCCTTCTATCCTTTTGTTTGGTACCTTTCACATGCCTATGAATGGGATCTGGGGAGAAGTTGTGTGCCTAGTTTTCCCAATGAAAATTTTGTCAGATTGCCAACCAGAAAATTTACACAAACTCATACTTTCCCACATCTATGCTTTCACAATGAAAATGTAGCAGTATACTGGAAAATGGCTATCTTATTGTTTTTTTTTTTTTTTCTTGATCCTAGTTCATAAGTCACACATTGCCCGTTTATGTATTTTGCCCATAGGGGTCAGAAGCTGTCACTTTATAATTGATTTGTAGGAGCACTTTTATGTTGAGGATGTGAATTTTATAGGTTATGTGTTGTAATGATTTTCTCCCATTCTGAAGCTTAAAAGAATCTTGTAACTCTTTGAACATTAAAAAATGTTTCTTATGCAATTAACCTATGAATCTTTGTGTATGAGAGGAGAGGAGGAGGCTTCTAGATCTCATGCCATTTTTAAGACTGTTCTTATCCATCACTATAAAATGTCAGTATTCTCTAAGTTTTCCTTTCCACATTTAGGTACATCAACTTTAAAGTACAGAAAAGGCTTGTTTTGTATACAGAACAGAATCATGTGAAGTCACTTTTATTCCGTGTTTTATGTGTATATCTGTATGAATGTGTGTGTATTGTTCACATGCAATGTTTCAAACTTTGAAACATTTTTTGGGATTTTGTTAGGTCCAAAGAATCTGCAGGTTAATTTGTGAGCTCCTAACATCTGTGTAACAGTAAGTCTTCCCACAGAGAAGAGCAAAGTATCTATTCAAGTCCTCATTTTCATCCTTCATTAAACTTTCATCATTTTCCTTGTATCTGTATTCATATATGAACTGGTTACTGTATTGATTGCATACTCAAAGCCGTCAGGAGTTAGAAAGTAATACAAATAAAGAATAAAGCACACTAGATAGAAAGAAACATGTAATGGTTTGAACTTTGGAGAACTGGAAAACAAATGCTCTCCCAAAGGTATTCCTGTCCATTTCAAACTCAACACATACCAAATCAAACGTGTCTGAGCAGCAGTTTATGAGTACTAGCCTAACGTTTCACTTTCTTTTCTCCTGTAGCTATGGAACCTTGGAAACTTCTAATTTAAATGTTTGATACAGTTTTTCCAACTGGAACTAGGAAAGGGGGTCAAACGTACACTTCATTTTAAATTCTTCATTGGCTATTTGCCTTTTCAAGTTTTCAAATTTCTGTTTTGCCTTTGTTTACATGTGAATAGTGAATACATCTCCGTTAACTCTGCCTGTTCTAAAAGAAAGTCTCGCTTCTTCACATTGTTGAATATCTAATGAGGTTGCTTTTCTTGTCAATGAAGTCAGAGTATCTATATTCATTTTGAAATAGAAGCCACCATCTAACCCATATCATCATGGAAACTAGTATCAGTACTATATCAGATATCCTCATCACTGTCTGCAGAAGAGTTACTGCTGTTCCTTATCAAAACTCCTCGCAATTTCTTTCCTTAGCGATAAAAAAAAAAAAAAAAAAAAACTTCCTACCTTCCCGACCCTAACTTGCTTCTTATTTCTCAGGTGAGGGAATGAGATATCAACTCTTCTTTTTATACATGGTATCTTTTTCTTTACATTAATATTTATTATTTTATGCTAGGCACTCTGCTGAGTTTACATGCATTATTTACCTTTCCCACTAACTTTTGAGGTAGTACCATTATTATTTCCATAATATAAGTAAGAGGATTGAAGTTTAAAAGAACAAAATGGACCCCCTAATTAGAGGGCTACAAAATGGAAGAGGAAGGATTGGAACCAACATCTATTTGATGTTGGAATAAGTTCTTAATTTTGGATGAGTATCCTGAAAACAAGATGGATATTTACTTGAAAAAGGGATTTAGAAGGTAGTCCAACAAAAAGGTATTGGAGGACGTTGGGGATCTTTTAGCTATTTTGAGGAATGTATGCTTTAACCTACAACTAAGGGATGCCACTGAGGGATTTTAATAAAAGGGAAATGATATGATCAGAATTACTTTTTAAAAATATAGGTTTGATGCAATGTGGACAACTGACAAAGAATTGTGAAAGTACAGAGACCAAGTAGAATGTTATTTCCATATTCTATATCAAACAGATTAATATGTATTAGACTAGGATGATAAAGTGGAAATGGATTAAAGGGGTCAGATTCTTAACAGATTTAAGAGATAAAACCTACAGGTCTTGGTAACTGATTGGATGTGGCAGGTGAGGAAAGAGTCAAGAACGACTCCATAGTATGAATTCTCTCGTGGTGAGCGAGGTGTGCACGCTGCCTGAAGGATTTCCTGCAGTCTTTACATTCATAGGGCCTCTCTCCAGTATGAATTCTCTGATGTAAGGTCAGAGATCCACTATAGCTAAAGGCTTTCCCACAGATGTTACATTCATAAGGTTTCTCTCCCGTATGAATTCTTTGATGCTGAGCAAGGCCTGCATTTTGGCTAAACGTTTTTCTACATTCCTTGCACATATAGGGCTTTTCTCCAGTGTGACTTCTCTGGTGTTGCGCAAGTGATGAACTATTGCTAAAGGCCTTCCCACATTCAATGCATTCATAGGGTTTCTCTCCAGTATGAACCCTTTGGTGTTGATCAAGGTATGCAATCTGGCTGAAGGCTTTCCTACACACTTTACATTCATAGGGTTTTTCTCCAGTGTGAACTCTCTGATGTTGTGCAAGATGTGCGTATTGGCTGAAGGCTTTCCTGCACTCCTTACACTCATAGGGTCTCTCTCCAGTATGAATTCTCTGATGTACAATTAGGTACCCACGATGGCTAAAGGCTTTTGCGCACACGTTACATACGTAAGGTTTCTCCCCTGTGTGAATTCTCTGATGCTGAGCGAGAAATGAACCATTACTAAAGGCTTTCCCACATTCAATACATTCAAAAGGTCTCTCTCCAGTATGAACTCTCTGATGTTGAGTCAGGTGTGCAATCTGGCTGAAGGCTTTTTGACATTCTTTACACTGATAAGGTTTCTCTCCAGTGTGAACTCTCTGGTGTTGGGCAAGGTGTGCATTCTGGCTGAAGGCTTTCCTACATTCTTTACATTCATAGGGTTTCTCCCCAGTGTGTATTCTTTTATGTTGAGCTAGGTTTGCACTCTGGCTGAAGGTTTTCCCACATTCAACACATGCATAGGGTTTCTCTCCAGTATGGATTCTCTGATGAAGAGTAAGGGATGAACTCTGGTTGAAGACTTTCTCACATTCATTACATTTCAAAAGTTTCTTTTCTACATAGGCTTTCTTGTGTTTCATTTCAACAGATTTTTTTCGGTAACTTCTTTTTTGTGGCACATGCTTATGTACTGTTTCCTTGGTGGGAAAATTCTGTTGTATATCTAGTATTGCAACCTGATGGAATGTTTGCCAAGGTTTATTATACTTATTACTTTGATCTTCAGAGAGGATTTCTTTATCATCGATGATCAATTGACTAGAATGTGGCTCCTGACTTCCCAAATGTTTTTTACACCAGTCCAAACTTTCAGAGTCTTCTTTCAAACTGCGGCAGTCAAGGCTATGACCAAGATGGCTTCTTCCCGTTGTCATTAGTTTGGATGATTCTTCAAAAATATCTTGATTTGATGAAAATTCACTGCTTTCAAATACATACTCCCAATCTAAAAGATATCAAAAACATTTTATATTTACTGATTATAATATAATAAACTTCTAAAATAAAAGTGAGTGAATAAAGTACATGTGAAGTTCAAGGATTTAATAGCTCTTAATGCAATCTAAAAAGTATGAAGTTATAACCAGTGAGAATGCGAATAGTTGATTAAGGAAAAATCATGTAAAACCAGTAAGGTAAATGTCAGAAAACATTTGAGAAGTCATCTAAAATCACATTATTTTATATTTGTTAATATAATAATCCTCAACATCATTCCTCCTTTGCTGCAGGTTATCCTGCATTCCAGCTGAATTATCTTTATAAAGCCAATTTTAAAATATGGATAATTTAGCTATAGGTATCCATTAGATACCTATACCTAAAGATACACCAGATGGCCTTAGGATGCTCATGAGACTCTATGGTTAAACTTTTGCAGTTAGAAAAGAAAGTCTTCCTAAAAACCTTTTCTATGTGATAAGTTCCACTTAAATGTAAAATTTCAGTTGACCCCTGAAGCTAAATTGCCCTCATGAAAAATAACTTTGTACCAAGCTGCTTGCTTTTATTAACTTACACAGGCTTTAATCTGGCTTTCCCGTTCTATTCCCAAATTGGGTCACAACACTCTGGCTCAAGTGGTTGTCAACACATTTATAATAGCAAAATTGTTGTCAAGATTTACAAAATGACATGATTTGGTATTCTCTGACCTTATCTTTCTTTTTTTCTTTTTCTTTTTGTAGAGATTTATTTTTATTTCAAAGTCAGAGTTACAGGGAGAGGGAGAGACAGAGAAGCAGAGAGAGAAAGAGATCTTCCATTACTGGCTCATTCCTTAGATGACCAGAATGGCCTGGGCTGAGCCAGGCTGAATCCAGAAGCTAAGGAGCTTCTTCCAGGTCTCCCCATGGGCCATCTGCTGCTGCTTTTCTCACATGCATTAGCAGGGAGCTGCATTATAAGTGGAGCAGCTGGGATATGAACCAGAGCCCATATAGGCTGTGGGCATTGCAGGCTGCAGCCTTATCTGCAAAGCCACAACACCAACCTCCCATTTTATTTTTTATTTATGTATTTGAAAGGTAGTATTTTGGGGGCTGGCGCTGTGGCGCAGCAGGTTAAGGCCCTGGCCTGAGGCACTGGCATCCCTTGTGGGCACTGGTTCTAGTCCCAGCTGTACCTCTTCCAATCCAGCTCTCTGCTGTGGCCTGGGATAGCAGTAGAAGATGGCCCAAGTCCTTGGGCCCCTGCACTTGCGTGGGAGGCCCAGAGGAGGCTCCTGGGTTCTGGCTCAGACGTTGCGGCCATCTGGGGAGTGAACCAGCAGATGGAGGACCTCTCTCTCTGTATCTACCTCTCTCTGTAATTCTGTCTTTCAAATAAATAAAATAAATCTAAGGACTTGGGCCATCTTCCACTGCCTTCCCGGGCACACTAGCAGGGAGCTGGATCAGAAGTAGAGCTGCCAGGATTTGAACTAGCATTCCCACAAAGGATCCAGCATTGCAGGTGGTACCCTAACTTGCTGCACCACAACACCAGCCCTGACCTCATCTTTCATTCCTCTCTCGCTTGCCTACTCCTCTTCAGCTATAAGGGTTAGCATTTTTCAGACGTTAAGAATAGCACACTTGCTGTTTCTCTGTCTACAAAACATATCCCCCAGATATCTGCTGGACCCATTCCTTCAATACATTTCTTCACTTGAGGTTCTGCTGACATATTACGTGTTCATTATGGCCTTTCGACCATCTAAGATAAAATATTACACCCGACCTGTTTTCCTATCTTGCTCTTCATAGTACTTGTTACTTATATTACATATTAATTTACTCTTGTATCCTCACTAGAATGTAAACTTTCACATGTAAGACTTGTTTTTTATTTTATTTTATTTTTTAACTTAAGGATACCCATTGCCTAAGATAGGCTTGGCAGGTATTTAACAATTTAATGAATAATGAACCAAGAATACATGATGTAGAACACTAATTCATCCTCTCATTAGAATGATCTGCTTACATGAGTGGGGTAAATGGCTTAAATCAAGTATGAAACCCCCACTGTACTGGACATGTTAACTAGGTAGATAGCCAGATCTGGTAGGAAGAAAAATCTAAAGACAGGATACTTGAATTGAAGCTGCTAACTCTTGATGCCCTACCTCAATGCCCTTCCAAACTCTACCCTCCCTCTAAACAAATAATTACAAATCACTTTCAAGAATACCTCAAAAGAAGGTCAACATGCAGATGAAATCCTAGAGCTCTTTGGGCAGGGAATATGAAGTGAATGACAGGGTGCACTGAATCTAATTAAACCCAGAAGCAAATTTATAAAAGTGTGATAAGAAAGTAAAAATGCAGGTATGGTCTTTATTATATTGATTCATCTTAGATAGAAACATTCATGCTGTAATATTACAATCATTACAGCCATGATTCTCAAGTTTTAGAGTATCAGAATTACAGATTGCTGACCTCTGCAGTTTCTGGTTAATTAGATCAGAAGAGGGGTAAGAATCCATCATATAAATTGAGGTAGAATTCTAAAAAAAAGTGGGAACCAAGCCACAAAAATAAAGAGCAAAGAAAAAACTGAATGATGGACTCAAATAAAATTATGTGAATAATTATATTAAATATTCATGGCGTAGACATCCAAGAAAAGGCCAACTTTGTTTTTTTTTTTTTGTTTTTGTTTTTTTTTTTTTTGACAGGCAGAGTGGACAGTGAGAGAGAGAGACAGAGAGAGAAAGGTCTTCCTTTGCCATTGGTTCACCCTCCAATGGCCGCCGCTGCAGCCGGCGCACCGCGCTGATCTGATGGCAGGAGCCAGGATCCAGGTGCTTTTCCTGGTCTCCCATGGGGTGCAGGGCCCAAGCACCTGGGCCATCCTCCACTGCACTCCCTGGCCATAGCAGAGAGCTGGCCTGGAAGAGGGGCAACCGGGACAGAATCTGGCGCCCCGACCGGGACTAGAACCTGGTGTGCCGGCGCCGCAAGGTGGAGGATTAGCCTAGTGAGCCACGGCGCCGGCCGAAAAGGCCAACTTTGTAAGAACTGATAACAAAGGAAAGCCAGGCCATATGCTGCTTACAGAAAACATTAACTATAAGGATACAGTAACTGGAGAAAGCTGTTACATGAAAACAGTTAAGTGTAAGAAGGGTACAAGACTATATTCATATTAGATAAAATAGACTTCAAATAGAGTATTACCAAAGATTAAGAGAGTCATGTCATAATTATAAATAGATCAATTCCTCAGGAAGACATAATAACCAGAAGTGTGTAGGTAGCTAATAGAAAGCCTCAAATACATAAAACAAAATGGTTATAGAAATAGGCGGGGCCGGTGCTGTGGCATAGCGGGTAAAGCTGCTGCCTGCAGTGCCGGCATCCCATATGGGTGTCGGTTCTAGTCCCGGCTGCTCCACTTCTGATCCAGCTCTCTGCTATGGCCTGGGAAAGCAGTGGAGGATGGCCCAGGTACTTGGTCCCCTGCACCCAACATGGGAGACCTGGAGGAAGCTCCTGGCCCCTGGCTTTAGATCAGTGCAGCTCTAGCCGTTGAGACCAATTGGGGAGTGAACCAGCAGATGGGAGGCACTCACTCTCTTTCTCTCTGCCTTTCCTCTATCTGTGTAACTCTGACTTTCAAATAAATAAATCTTTAAAAAAAAAAAAAGAAATAGGCAATTGCATAATGCTAATGAATGATTTTAATATGCTTTGCTCAGCAATTGACAAAAACTAGACAAAAATTAGTTAATACCTGGAGAATCTCAATAGGATTAACTACCTTGATCTAATATATTTATAGAACACTATACCCAACAGTGGTGCAACTTGCATTCAAGTGCACAAGGTGCCTTCAGTAAGATGACCACATGCTGGGCAAAACAGATCCAGTCTCAAGAAAATGAAAATCCTGGAATCATAAAAAGTATGTTTTCTAACCTCAACAGAATTAAATTAAAAATCAGTAGTGAGGTCCAATAAACTTGAAATCTCTTGGAATTGAAGTACATATTTCTGGCCGGCGCCACAGCTCACTAGGCTAATCCTCTGCCTTGCAGCGCCGGCACACCGGGTTCTAGTCCCGGTCGGGGTGCCGGATTCTGTCCCGGTTGCCCCTCTTCCAGGCCAGCTCTCTGCTGTGGCCCGGGAAGGCAGTGGAGGATGGCCCAAGTGCTTGGGCCCTGCACCCGCAAGGGAGACCAGGAGAAGCACCTGGCTCCTGCCATTGGATCAGCGCGGTGCGCCGGCCATAGCGCGTCAGCCGCAGCGGCCATTGGAGGGTGAACCAACGGCAAAGGAAGATCTTTCTCTGTCTCTCTCTCAGTGTCCACTCTGCCTGTCCAAAAAAAAAAAAAAAAAAAAAAAAAAGAAGAAGAAGAAGAAATACATATTTCTATATAATCTATGAGCTAAAGAGTATAACAGGAGAAATTAGAAAATAGTTTGAATTGATTAATAATGACAGTACAACATATCAAAACTTGTGGGATATAGCTAAAAACTTCTTTTTTAAAAAATAATTTATTTTCCTTAAATCCTACCTACCTAAAACAGTTTTTAAAGGAAAATTTATAGCTTTAAAATACTTATATTGAAAAGAAACTTAAACTCTGAAAATCAATACTCTAAGGCATCACCAAGCAAGTGAAGAAAAGGGTTGGTGTTATATAGCAGTTTAAGCAGCCACCTGCAACACCAGCATCCCACCTCACAGTGCTAGTTCCAATCCGGCTGCTTGGCTTCCAATCCGGCTGCCTGCTAATGCACCTGAGAAAGAAGCACATGATGGCACAGGTGTTTGGTCCCCTGCCACCAATGAGGGAGACCTGGATGGAGTTCTTGGCTCCTGGTTGCAGCTTGGCCCATCCCAGGGCTCTTGTGGCCATTTGGGGAGTGAACCAGCAGACAGAAAATCTCTCTCTCCCTCTCTTTCTTTCAGTGTGCCTTTAAAAATCTTTGGAAAAAAGAAGTCAGGAAC